TATAAAAAAACATAACAAAAAACACTGCAAAGTTAGCTGTTTTAACGAAAAAATCATGATTTCAGTTTTTTTTCTCTCCAGTTATACACAGTGTGCAGCAGGATCTTTTTTTATGTGGTGCACAATCCACATAGATGTATCCTCTCCATATCTAGGCCCAAATGTATCCCACTCACCAGTTTTCCAGAGTGAGCTGAGCACATGGCGTAGGATCTACGGTTTGGACACTCAAATAAGCCCGTAGATCTAGGGACGGACCTGAAAGGGTTAAGGATTACAAATACTTTAAGATAAGTAATGAATGTACTCTGAATGTATTTACTTTGTGTGTTTTTTAATGCCTAGTTCTATTTACTAACTTAATATAATTTAGTGTAAACTTGTTGTCTGGCATATATAGTATATGCATTTATAAATGGAAAAAGGGTGTTTTCCACTTTTCCGGCGATGTTTGCTTCCAGCGATATCCTGAACCTAAACCGCCGCATAAGTGGGCCCTACTGTAGAATCTGGTGTATCCACTAAGATAAGATTTTATTGTAATTGAGAGTGTCCTCGACTCCAAAATGCCTAAGTTTTTTAAAGGTGAAAGATATTGTGGGTCTACTGTATCAAAAGCATTCCCGTAAGGTCTATGGAAGAACCCCATAGAATATTCTTTTTTTTTTTCAGTTGCTGTATAAATACAGTGACCCCCGCCAAACGAACCGCATTGCATAATGTTAATTCCGCCACAACAAAGCATCTGAAACAAAACTTTTGGCCTCGCCTCATAAAAAAACTTCCCAACAAGAGTCCTCCCAAAAACCTGTCCCGTCAGTCTGCTGAGGCGCCTCAACTGCCCTGCCATCATTGTTTTACAAGCAGGGAGGCCGATTGCAGGCATACATTCCGATACTTTTCGTATTATTCCATTGTTTATAGTGCTTGTAATTGCAAAATAAACCACCATGAGCCCGAAAGAAAACTTCTAGTGCCAACCCTGTGGTAAAAATGGGTGTGAAAAATGGACTATCGAACCACTGTCAGCTGCTGGTGCAAAAGCCACCGTCAGCTGTGCTTGCACCAGAGTCAGCTGTTGCTGCCACCAGTCAGCTGTTGCTGAACCACAGTCAGCTAGCGCTGCCAACCACCGTCATATTGCTGCACCATGGTCAGCTGCGGCTACAAACCAACAGTCCAGCGGTTGCCTGAATCCACGGTGAGCTGCTGCTGCACCAATGGCACTGCTGCTGCAACCACCATCAGCTGTTTCTGAAAACATATTCATTCCCAAACCTGACCATCCAGCCCGAGCACCTCAGGCTGCCTTCCGTCATTGGCTAACAAGCCAGGGAGGCCGGTTGCAAGCATACATTACGATACATTCATATTATTCCATGGTTTTTTAGTGCTATGTAAACAGCCTAGATAAGCCACCATAGGCCCAAAGAAAACTTTCTAGTGCCAACCCAGGTGGGAAAAAGGGTGAGAGAAATACTATCGAAATCTATCGTACCACGGTCAGCCTGGCTGCTGCACCACCATCATCTGTTGCTGAACCAGTCAGCTGTTTGCAGGCAACCATGGTCAGCTGTTGCTATAACACAGTCCAGCTGCTGCAGCCAAAACACAGTCAGCTGGTTTGCTGCACCACAGTCAGCTGTTGCTACAACCAAAGTCAGCTGTTGCTGAACCACGTTGAGCTGCGTGCTGCACCACAGTCAGCTGCTGCTGCACCAAAGTCCGCTGGTTGCTGAACCAGAGTCAGCTGCAGCTGAACCACCTACGGTCAGCTGCTGCTGCACCAAATGCAGCTGCAGCTGTACCACAGCAGCGTCTGCTCTGCAAACCAGTCAGCTGCTTCTGCACTATCCATCAGCTGTACTACTCAAAGATGTGGAGAGTGGTGTTGTTGTGTGGCATAATGGGAAACAATACCGAGGAACAATTAAAACCCCAGATGGTTAGCCACTCAGATAAACCCAAGAAAGCCAGTGCATCACGAGGACTGTCAACTTATTTCCATTGGGTCCGTTAACCCTTTCAGGGTCTGTCCTGTAGATCTACGGCTTTACGGTTTAGGGAGTCCCAATCTGTAGATCTACTCCATGAGCTCAGCACACTCCTGGTTCTGATAAACTGTGAGTGAGGAAATTTGGGCTAGAAATGAGAGAATACAAATATGTGGTAATGTGTGCACCACCATAAAACAATCCCCTGCAGCACACTGTGTATAATGAGAGTGAAAAAAACCTGAGACCCGTAGATTTCGTTAAAACAGCAACTTCGCAGTGTTTTTTTTCGTATGTTTTTTATATTGTATTTGCGAATTTCTTGGTCTCATTTGAGAAAAGAAGACATATACAGAAATAGAGATGATTTTTAATTGGTTTTTTAGCACTGGAAACTGAGCTCAAAGTACCGGAAAATGTTAAATTTTTGCCATTGGTTCAAGAGTAAACAACGGCCTCACACGTCTAATACACGCCAGCTGGTGGGTCCTAATATACATTCACAAATGTGGTAAAGATATTTAAACATTAAACAATATTGCATAAGCAGTATATCTTCCAATTTTTTGGTGTGAATAAAAATCATTATGAGAATAAAAAATCAAAAGGAATATATTTAAAAGAAGCCTCAAACAGTAACAAATGAAACAAGGAAATGTAGTTTTAGTGCCAGGAATACCTAAATTGTTATTCTGGACCATATTTAGAAATTGGAATATTTGAACTTTTGTTAATTGGCCAAATTACCATTTTCCGATCACTTTTATGTTGTAGTTGAAACAGTTGACTGGGCGATTTCTTGTGCTCAGGGTCGATATAATAGAAGTAGTAACTAGTGAAATAGCTAAGAATTTGGTCGACTGGAATAATGTAATTGCCTAAAATCCGAGTAAAAAGTCAGCAAAATCACCGATTATCGTTAATTATCGCTGACACTCAAATTCGCGGCGAGTAATAATTTCGTCATTTTCCATCAAATATTCGATCTTTTTGTTTTAATTACCTTGCACACCAAAAAGATTCTCTAACCATTTCATAAGAAAAAGTAATTTTTTTTTTTTTAAATCTTATTCTTGGACACTGGGGCACCACTTCCAGATTTAGTTAGGCCTTGACCCAGAAATGAGTTTAATCTTGTCCCCCAGGATGCGACCCCACATGAGCCGACTACCACCCAGGTGAACGAAAAAAATGCCTGGCACTAGTGCTCACATTGGCGGAATTTAAGGCGCAGCCAGGTAAAGCTTGTTTCACAAGAGGGCATCCTGGGTTCAGGATGCCCACCTTGAAACAAAATTTACCAGCAACGAAAGAAAGAGCCTTAGGTTGCTAAGCTGAGATCTGGCGATTAAACGAAACAAGAGGATTCGTAGTAGTCCTCCTGTTGTGAGTCCCCAGGTTAAGAGGGGAACTTGGTCAGTGGCCGGGCAACAAGGAATCAAGCTAAGGATCAAGAAGACTGTTAGAGAGGTAGAAATAACAAGGAATCAGAAGACTACTGTGGAACCCTCCAACACATTTTTGGTGCTACCTGACGAATGTGGGTGTTCTACTGGGAATACCACAACAAGCACCAAGGAAGCATTGGCAGACATGAGTGAGACATCCCTAGAAACCCCAACGAAGACCATCGAGAACTGCTTGACGAATTCCACAACTGAAGGTGTAGTGCTACCTGACGAATGTGAGTCGCCAAGGAAGGTAAAAAATAGTTGTTGTTGGGGATAGCCAGATTAAGTACATGGATAGGGCATTCTGCGTGAAGGATAAGAGTAGGAGGCAGAGAGTGTGTTTTCCTGGGGCTGGGATGAAGGATATTGTTAGCCGTCTCGATAACATTATGAGAGGTAATGGGAGCAATCCTATTATCTGTCTCAGTGCTGGAGGCAACAATGTATATGCAACGAAGATGTGAGGACCTGATTAGCAGGTATAGGTCACAATAGAGATAATAGAGGAAGGGTGGAACGGCCTGTCATATGGAAAATTTGACAAGGAGAGGATTGGAAACAAATTGTTGTCCAGGGCAATTGGGTGTCAATTGCTGGCTGGACAAATACTAGTAAGGAAAATGTGGTAACATTCCATTGACACTGGACCTCTAGCTACTGGCAGAAATGACATGTATGCCAGGAAACGTGGGGACACTTACTAGGTCTGGGGTGTGGGCACTGGCAACTGCAGTGGAGGGAGCTGTTAGAATGAGTTAGTGGTATGGGTTTATTGGCGGAAAACAGTGAATGTCCAGTGTAGTAAATAATTATGAAGTTCTAGGGGAACTATTACTAAGCAGAACAGGTGGATTATTGAAAAGCCAGTGGCACAGGTGACAAGGCTAGTAAGCGGTTTAGAAGAAAAAAAAATGAGCGAGAAAGGGTAAGAGAAAGGAAGGTCATTTCAATGTATAGTATTGCCTAATAGCCGTAGTGCTAGGAATAAGATGGACGAGTTTAGATTAGTTGCTAAGTGCATTTAACATGATGTATTTTTTGCCATAACTGAGGACATAGTTTAATTCAAACAGTCGGGACCAATGCCTGCAGAATGTCACATTCAGTGGTTTAAACTGTTCCAAGTACAGTGGGAGGAATAGGGGAGGCACTGTGAGTGCAGTGGGGAGTCTGTGGTATTTTAATAACATACAATGTTAGTCAAGCATAACATGTACAGTGGACCCCCGCATAACCGGACGCATCGCATACCGTACAAATCCGCAACCCGGGTCGCTTTGAGACCGCAAAAATGTTGCCTCGCATACCGCCCAAAAACCCCTCGACCGCCCATACGTCCAGACGCTCCAATGTGGCGGCCTGAGCCACGCACACTATGTCGCCTGGTGGCATTTGTTTACCAGCCAGCCTCCGCGGTACATCCAAGCATAAAATCGGAACATTTTCTATTATTACAGTGTTTATGGGTGATTTTTTTCTGGAAGAATAAGTGACCATGGGCCCCAAGAAAGCTTCTATTGCCAACACTTACAGTCAATAAGGGTGAAATTAAACTATGGAGAAGAAGAAAAAGATCATTGATAAGTATGAAAGTGGAGTGGCGTGTCCCGAGCTGGCCAGGGTTGTAAAATAACCCCAATCAACCATCGCCTACTATTGGTGTACAGCTGCTGCTGTACCACCGTCAGCTGCTGCTGCACTGTCAGCTGCTGCTGTTCGACTGGTCAGCTCTGCTGCTGTATAACCACCGTCACTGCTGCGCCTGCTTGTAGTACCTACAGCTGCTGCTGTAGCATCGTCTGTTGCTGCTGTAGCATCGTCTGTTGCTGCTGTACCAACCGTCACTGCTTGCTGCTGCTGTATGCATCGGTCTGCTGGCTCTGCTGCTGTATCATCGTCGGCTCTGCTGTAACATCATCATTGCTGCGTAGCATCGTACTACCTGCTGATGTAGCTCGTCTGTTGCTGCAGTAGCATCCGTCTTTGCTGCTGTCAACCACCGCAGCTGCTGCCTGCTTGCTGTATGCATCGTCTGCTGCTATGCTGCTGCTGCGTAAGCAATCGTCTGCTGCTGCTGTAACATCGTCAGTTGTCTGCTGTAGCATCGTCTGCTGAATGGCTGAAGCATCGTCCTGTTGCTGCTGTAGCATCGTCTGATGCTGCTGTACCACCGTCAACTGCTGCTGCTGCTGTACGATCGTCTGCTGCTGCTGAGCATCGACTGTTGCCTGCTGTTAGCATCGTCTGTTGCTGCTGTAACCACGTCAGCTGCTGCGTGCTTGCTAGTAGCACCCGTTGTTGGTGGGGCTTATTGTAGAATACCAAGAAACAATTAAACCCCAGAGGATTTGCCACCCAGATAACCCAAAAAAGTCGGTGTATCGAAGACTGTCTAACTTATTTCCCAATTGGGTC